GTCCCCCTAATCCTAGCTCCCAAGCAGGAAACCCCAAGCTCAAAAGCTGACGGCCCTCCGCTTCTCGGAGAGTCCGGGATTCTCTTCCCGGAGGCACTGAAGTATGTCTCCTTTGCAGTGCAGATGTTGGGAAAGAGCTTCAAGATGATGCCGGTCATGACGCTTGCCGCCATAAGTCGCGGCAGAAGTGATTTTTTCAGACATCCTCAGCACGGCGATAGTTGGACTTGAGGATCTGGGGCATGATCATCTCCGGCAAGTCATACAGCTCCTTGCTCAAGGGTTTCGCTTACAGCATTCTATTCGATTGTCAAGCAACGGAGCGGAAGCATCAGGTGCACGTGATTGGATGATCGCCCTCTCCGTCACGCTGGGCTGCACGGAGTTCCTGATGACAGGCCCTTGGCATGTGATACCTGCTTGACTAGCACCAAGCACGCTCTACTCCAGCAGCTTGTAGTGTGGTTGAAGCTGAGCAAGAGACCCCATGGTCGACTTGAGACATAGTAGAGTGCCTCCCTCGGTCCTGTCCGACAGGTCCAACACATTCCAAGCTGAATGCTAACAACAGCTTCAAGGCATCGAGTTTCTGCCGGACGGTATGTCTTGATTTCCCTGAAGACCTTGAGCCGTGATGGGCCTTCCTCGAAGCAGTGAGTTCGCGCGAGGGCTTCTTGCTGCTTGGTGGCTTCCTTGCCCTCGATGGCTTGACATCAACATTCCAAGAGAAGCTCTTCAAGGAATCCGTAGCTGCAGTGAATCCCGTGAGACCCGGCCCCCGCCTCTCCCATCTCTCCCCCTAACTCTATGCAGGTACAGCCAAGTAAGTAGTGTGCATGTCGCGGTCGCCGTGTGTGTTGCCTTCGGACCTGTCGGTGCAGGAGCACAAGACGACCAAGTACAACCAGATGCTGTACATCAATCTACTTTCTGCCACTGTGTCAATGGCCACGCTCTTGGTGAACACCTCAGCACAGAGTGTCAACGTGTTGGCCGGAGTGGTTGTCATAGCATTTGCAGCAATGAGACTAGTAGTGTTCATGATGGCGCACAGAGTTCAGGATGAAAACAGGACGTTTGATAGCAGGAATAAGAAGGAGCTACCGAACAAGCACCAAAACACATAGTTGGACTCGGACAGATCAACGCAGCTCCAATCCCGGGCATAGTTTCATGACAGTCCTACACGATGCATAACAAGATCATCACAACGCCAGGAACTAGACTACCTTTTGCCATGTCACGTTGTGACGGTGGTGGAGCTCGCCGGCACAACTACCCCGACATTTTTCAGAATCGTGATGAGAATGTCGGGTCTGCATGTTGTAGTCTCGGCAGCAGTGCAACTGCTTTGACTCGTGACCCACCTCTTTTCTCAGCTTTGCAAGTGGGTAGTTTTCTAAATTAGGGTCCCTTTTGGGGTCCTTTTTATAAGCGTGCCGTATTATATTGGGGATCTAAAAAAAGACCTTAATTCAGAGAACTACCCCAGTATATTTCTTTACCTACCGAGTCACTGCTCCTTCAACTGTAAACACGATGACGGGTCGCCACCGCCATAGACCGCCCAAGAGCCGAAGGTGACCGGAGAACTGTGGCCAGCGGCAGCTTTCGGCTTCGCCCACCCGCTGCTCGGATCTTTCACGTAGGAACCCATTGGATAATACTACTGCATGCATTAAGAATAATGAATAAAGATAATATTCCTAATGCTAAAGCTGAGAAACCACATCAGCCGTCACGAAACAAATAAGAGCAGCAAGAAGCCTCATTACGACACCCATGGTTCAGGTTCTGAAAAGACGGATGGTGTCTCGATCAGGTGCTTTCTGTCAAGGTGCAAGCTGCCTTTCTTCAGGGGTCCCTGGCAGTCGC